TCCCAACTGCTACTGAATGTGACTTCTGATACAAGAAGAAAAATCACTCTCCTAATACAAGCCATGAGCAAAGCAGTGTCTAGGAATTCTAATGTCCTTTCTTCCTTCTTAGGATATGAGTTTGTAGGTTTCCCAGGATGAACAAAGCATCTTTCAGGTAAACCAATGGTTTCTTCGTCACGTTCTTTTTTTTTTTAAAGAACACGTTTTACCCTACAGGAGCCAAACATTTGCCCAAACTCCACAATGACTCTGAAATAGGCCTAAAAGAGGAGGGCACAGTGGCCACAATGCTCTCCTGTACAAAGGCTAGCATGAAACGACAGGGGAGAAAAAAGCAAACTGGTCCTCACAAGGCATAGATGTAGTCCAGTGGAAATTCCAGAGGACAAAATCTCACTTCCAGCTGGGAAGTGAAGGAATTGATGTCAGAGAAAATGGACAATATTTGTAATAAATACTAACGGCTTATTACATGCTATTCCTGGGTACTGGCGATAGAGTGGTGAACACGACAGAAAAAGCGGGGAAAACATTGTTGGCACGGGGAATAATAAGTGACATAATTAATTTTACCAAGGAAGGTGGTAGGGAGACACCTCTTCAAGGTGTAATGTGGAAGATAGAGGTGTGATGGTTTCCTTACAGCTTTGGAGTCGAACAGATTCGGATTTCAATGCTCACTTTACCACTTACTTAGCTAGCTGAATTGGAATTCTGACTCATCTGTAAAATAAAAAGTGCCTCAGAGTTATGAGAATTCAAAAGCGCCTCACCAGTGTCCGGCGTTAGCAAGCCCTCTGTACTGAGAACTGCTATCATTCGTTTTATTATTTCATCTTCTTGTCCCCAGAGCCTAGCACTTTACCTGGAATGCCTCGGAAGATCTGAACATACCAGCTGACTGAATCAATGTATGAAAAAAAAAAATGAAAACATGGGTGAATTAAAGGCTGAGCGGTGAAAGAGCAGAAACTAAAAAGAGGTGGCTCCGTGCAACATGAGAGCACACAGGAAGAACCTGGGAAGCAGGGAAGGCCCGGGACAGGTCACAGGGAGGCTGCGGCGAGGACGTCGGACCGAAGGGAGAAGGTCCTCAAGGCGACCGCAAAGCGCCCCGTCGCGCCCCGAGGTAGCGTCACGGCCAGAGGAGAAAGTGCGACTGGGGCGCCAAGCGACACGCCGGAGGGGAGAGAGGAAGAACAGAAAGGTACTTGGGTGAGGAGACGGGAGGCCCACCACTGACGGATGAGGTGAGGAACCGGCCCTCCTCTCAAAGAAGTCCCTTCAGATCCCCGCGCGCGGGGACCGTTTGGACGTAACTGCCTCCCGTCTCGGCGCCGTCTACCCAGCCAGGCTTCACTCCGTCACCGCCGCCACATCCCACTCCCCATTCTCGCCCCGCCTCTGCTTGCTTTCGAGCCCGCGCCTCAGAGCCAACCCCGACAACTCGGCCCGCTCCGCACCTCACACACGACTCGCCAGCGGCCGCCGCCATCTTCCCGCGCGCGCGCCCCGGACCCGCCCCTAGACGAGGCGCCCACGTGACCGCTCGCCTACAACCAAACGCGTGGGGCGGGGCTCCCGTCACGTGACCTCGGTACGGGGCGGGGCCAAGATGGCGGTGACCGGGGACAGGCAGAATCCCCGGCAAGAGTGGCCGCGGGCGTGAGGAAGGCACCCGAGTGACGACGTCTCGCACGCCCGGTGCCCACCAACACTTGTGTCATCTCGGGCTTGGCTGGAGGTGGCATCATTTACATCATGAAGCACTCGCTAAGTGTGGGTGAGGTGATCGAGGTCCTAGAGGTCCTGCTGATCTTCGTGTACCTCAACATGATCTTGCTGTACCTGCTGCCCCACTGCTTCACCCCAGGATCAGTGCTGGTATTAGGTGGCATCCGCTTCGTGCTCAACCAGCTCATCGGGCGCTCTCTCTGGTGGAAAGCCAGGGGGACCCGGTGGACTTCTTAGTGGTGGTGGTGGTAGGGATGGTGCTCTTGGGCATCTTCTTCAGCACCCTTTGTCTTCGTGAACTCGGGCACCTGGGCCTCCTCCATCTTCTTCCACCTCATGACCTGTGTGCTGGGCCTGGGCGTGGTCCTGCCCTGGCTGCACCGACTCATCCGCAGGAACCCCTTGCTCTGGCTCCTTCAGTTCCTCTTCCAGACTGACACCCGCATCTACCTCCTAGCCTACTGGTCTCTGCTGGCCACCTTGGCCTGCCTGGTAGTGCTGTACCAGAATGCTAAGCGGTCATCTTCTGAGTCCAAGAAGCACCAGGCCCCCACCATCACCCGGAAGTATTTCCACTTCATTGTGGTAGCCACCTACATCCCAGGTATCATCTTTGACCGGCCACTGCTCTATGTGGCTGCCACTGTATGCCTGGCAGTCTTCATCTTCCTGGAGTATGTGCGCTACTTCCACATCAAGCCCCTGGGGCACACTCTGCAGAGCCTCCTTTCCCTTTTCCTGGATGACCGAGACAGTAGGCCACTCATCCTGACCCACATCTACCTGTTCCTGGGCATGTCTCTTCCCTTTGTCTGGTCCCTAGACCCTGTACGCAGAAGAGTAGCGTGGGGGGAGCAAGGGCCCTAGTCCCTTACGCTGGTGTCCTGGCCGTGGGTGTAGGCGATACTGTGGCCTCCGTCTTTGGCAGCACCATGTGAGAGATCCACTGGCCTGGAACTAAAAGACTTTTGAGGGGACCATGATATCTGTATTTGCCCAGATCATTTCTGTAGCTCTGACCTTAATCTTTGACAGTGAAGTGGACCTAAACTACAGTTATGCTTGGGTTTTGGGGTCCATCAGTACTGTGTCCCTCCTAGAAGCGTACACAACACAGATAGACAATCTCCTTTTGCCTCTCTAACTCCTGATATTGCTGATGGCCTAGTCGCTGTGCAGCAGCAGTGATGGAGAAAACAGGAACATGGGGAGGGCAAATGACCCCCACAGCAGCCAGCCACTTGGGTATGAAGAGCCAAGGGGTGAAAAGAAAATTTGATTTTTAGGTTGGTTCAGATTTAAAAGAAAAATCAAAGCTCTCTTGGTTTTAGTTTTGCTAATTTTTTTTTTTTTTTTTAAAAAAGCTTAAAGGATAGTGCAATAACTCAAAGAACTTGAGTGTGCTGTGGAGCCCCTGCACCCCTGCACCTTCCCATCCTCAGAGGGGACCGGAGTGGACACTGGAGGGAGGCAGTAGAGCATAGTGGTTAATGCTTCAGGTTCTGGTATCAAACTAACCTGGTTAGAATCCTTGGCTGCACCACTTACTAACTGTGGCCCCAATTCTCCCGTCTGCAAGATGGGAATAATTAATAACAGCATGCACCTCATGGGGGTGTTGTGAGAATCCAGTGAGATGAGGTGTGTCAAGTGTCTAGGGCACAATGAGCAGTCAGTAAGGGAAAGGGTCGTTATTACCTAGACCAGTCTCATTATAGCAGAAAAGCCATGCAAGCCAAGGGGGTTTTATCAGTTGTACTTGGAGACCAGAGTGACCTTTACTACTGTTTTATTTGGAGGAGGAAAACTCAAGGGAGAAATAGCTGAGTGCATGTGGTTTCTCCCATTTGGGATAGGAAGAAGTGAAGGGGAGAGGTAGGATGGGCTTGTTGCATGCATGAACAGGAGGATCAGGTCCCGGGCTGATGTCCTGTTTCAGCCAACCTCCTCCCCGACCCCCGCCTCCAACGTCTCTGCTGCCTGACTGAGTGGTGCTGCTGGGCTGGACAGCACAGGATCTTGTCAAGGGGTCCCTCCTGAGACCCTCTCACACTCCAGTCACGTCAGACTTGTCTTTGTCTCTTCCCTTGGCAACACATTAGAGCCCAGGACAGGTCCCAGGGGCTGGAGGAGTTTCCTGGGAGTTCAAAATGGCTCTACTCTGGAACTCTGCCTGAGCAAGAGGCCTACGCTGCAGCCTTGTTGTGTCCCACCGCATACCCCAATGCCAGCACAGAGCCTGGCATGTAGTAGGAACTCAGTCGACGTTTGCTGAGTGGATGAAAGTTTCCTGTCAGCGGGAAGACAGCACAACACATTTCATAAAGCTGAACATCCAATATGGCATGGGGAGGCCTAGCACAAAGAGGTGATAACTTTGGTCCAACAAGGCCAAGAGACAGGAACACAGCCAGGACCCGCTCTGGGAAAGCTTGCTCTTTTGTCTGAGAATCACTGCCAAGACCTTTCCCTCAGAGGATACTGAGACATTCCTTTGGGGCACAAAGGAAACTTAACAAATCTGTCACTTCCTTCAGGCTCCCTTCCGACTGCTTGCCAAAGGAGGCAGCATCAGCTTTGCCCTCACTGACTCCCTGGGTGGTCTTGGGAAAGGGCTTTCTCCTCTGGGCCTTGGTTAATCCATGTATAGAGTGTGGGGTACACTAAATCAGGGTTACGTACTCACCTACTAAGGTCAGGCAGGTAACAGATGAATGAGAACGGGGAAGTAGGAACTGTGCTGGACCTGAAAGCACATGTGCCTCTAAAGAGGCAGCTCCAGCCAGCAGTAGCCATGCTAGAATGTGGGCCCTGTGTTGTCGACCTTCTGCTCATTCAAGGGAAGTTTAAAAGCCTAGATCTTCATTTGACATCTCGCAATTTTAAAAAGTATTTTTAAAACACTGAAGCCCAAACAAAACACATCCGCAGTGGATCCAGCCCGTGGCCCCAGTGTATGACCTGTGGGACAGACCTAGGTTTTTGGGACCTCCCAGTTAAGCAGGATTTGGATTTGGCAGTTGTTCCAACAGAGGGTCTGTATACCTGCCAAGCATTCATTCCCAAGCTCATCTTGAGATCAGGGCTGATTGGGAGAAAGGACCAAGAAGCTGCGTTTAGAAGTTGTTTTTATTCAGTGTCTCAAACGGTACAAATCAGAGTTGCATCTCAGAGGACAGAAGATGAGAAGCCAGCAGAGAGGTGGCCAGAGCACTTTCATGCCAAGAGGCTACCTCAAGGAGGAGAGTATGCTGGGGCAGGGAGGAGGTAGGGAGTGAACATCTTAGCAACGCCTCCCATCCAGCTCCTGCTGCTGCCTCCTGGGCTCCGGGCACAGACACTAGCAGAGGAAAGCGCAGGAGAGATGCAACTTCGCCATTGCAGCCGGGAGGTCAGGTGAGGCAGCTTGCCTGCTCTCAGTGTTTGCAAGCTCCCTGGGAGGGGCAGTGCCCCAGTCCTGCTGAGGGCCATCAGGTGTACAGTGGACGAAAGGGCAGCTCAGCTGTTGGCTGGAGCCTGCAGAGGGCAAAGGAGATGACCTCGAGAGGTGGGTCTTACTGCTCCCAGCCTCCAGTACCTCCTCAGGGAACCATCAGGGCACCCACACCCACCCTTTCCTACCAGTTCTCTGGGCTCCAGATGGTGCCAGAAGCCTCCACGAGGTGGAAAGTGTAGGCGTGGCGTGAGTGGTCAGAAAGGTTCTGCTCACTCTTGTGCACCACTTGTCCCTGGATTAGGATGAGGACCCCTGGAGAGGACCAAGCAGGTCATGTCCCCTCCCTGGGCCTGGGAGAACATCAGCCTGCACTCTCCCTTCCCAGGGCAGGAAGGGACATGGGCCCTCCTCCCTCAAGCAGTTCTGTTTCCCCCCTATCTATCCCCATTCCCATCCCTAATTGCTCAGCCTCTGCAGCCTGCTCCAGGGTCAGAGGTTGTGCTGTTTAGAGGTGGGTTCCCCTGGGATCAAGTCCCTTCAGCTGTGGCCTGTGCCCCTGCCAAGCCTTAAGAAGAGCATCCCCTTCTGTGGTGTTTGCAGAAGCGGGCAGCAGCTCTCCATACTGTGCCGATCAGCTATGACCTCAGCCAGTGAATGCTGAGTTGGACCTCAGTTTTCTTTCTTCTAAAAGGAAAAGGGTGGACCGATAGCCAGCATTTGTTGAGTGCTTGCTGTGTGCCACGCAAGTTTGGTGTAAACACCTTATACATGTCATCTCACTTGCTTACCCACTCTGTTGTTGTGTGCCATCGAGTCGATTCCAATTCATAGCTACCCTATATGACAATAGAACTGCCCCATAGAGTTTCCCAGGCTGTAATCTTTACAGGAGCAGATTACCATGTGTCATGGTTTGAATTATGTCACCCAAAAAATGTATGTATCAGTTTGGCTAGGCGATGATTCCCAGTGTTGCGTGATTGTCCTCTATTTTGTGACTGTAATTTTACATTAAAGAGGATTAGGGTGGGATTGTAACACCACCCTAAGCCAGGTCACATCCCTGATCCCTGATCCAACATAAAGGGAGTTTTCCTGGGGTGTGACCTGCACCACCTTTTATCTCTTATAAGAGATAAAAGGAAAGGGAAGCAAGTGGAGAATTGGGGGACCTCATACCACCAAGAAAGCAGTGCCGGGAGCAGAGCGTGTCCTTTGGACTCTGCGTCCCTGCGGGGAGAAGCTCCTAGTCCGGGGGAACATTGATGAGAAGGCCGACAGAGAGAGAAAGCCTTCTCCTGGAGCTGACGCCCTGAATTTGGACTTCTAGCTTACTAGACTGTGAGAAAATAAATTTCTCTTTGTGAAAGCCATCCACTTGTGGTATTTCTGTTGGAACAGCACTAGGTGACTAAGACAGAATTTGGTACCGAGAGAGTGGTGTGCTGCTCTAACAGATACCTTAAATGTGGAAGCGGTTTTGAAACTGTGAATAGATGGAGGAGCAGCAGTGGCAGAGGACCAGCAACAGCAGAGAACCTTCAGTGGCAGAGAAGTGGCAATGGCAGAGAACCAACAGCAGCAGAACCAGGAGTCCGGTGCAAGACGGCGCTGGAGCCAACTCACTGAACGAGAGCTGAGTGCCTGTGCACAGAGGCTTCCTGGCAGAGTGGGGTGCCTCTGGACACTTACCGGTGGAGGTACCGAGCTTTGAAGATGCGGGGCGTGAGGCCCGAGGGCCAAGAGGCCACAGGAGACAGAAGCAGAAGCTGAAGAGACAAGGAACACAACAAGCCTAGATGCCTCAGTCCGAAAAGGTATGGCCATGACCTCAGGGGTTTCAAAGGGTGGAGCCATGGCCTCTGGTGCTTCTAAGGGTAGAGTCCCCACTCCGACGGACTAGGAGAATGGTGTGTGCCTGTAGCCGAGGGAGCAGAGTTGCTGTCCCAGTGGGCCTGGAAGGCAGAGCTGAAGCCCAGAGCCGAGGGACTTCCACTCAGAATCTGGAGAGTGTGGCCAATGCCTAGAGTCTGGAGGTCAGGGGCATTGTGTACATTATCTGAGAGAATAGAAGTTTATTTTCAAAGCCTGGAGGGCTAATGTAATGTATTCTGCTGACTTGCTTTGTGCCTGTTATCCCTTCTTTTCCTCTGGTTTCTCCCATTTGTAATGGAAATGTCTAGCTTGTGCCCGTTCTGCCATTGTATGTTTGGAAGCAGATAACTTGTATTCTAGATTTCACAGATGAAGAGGAATTTTTGGATGTTGGACTTGGAGTTAAGACTTTTGCTATGATATGATGGAGTGAATACGTTTTCCATGTTGCAAGGATGTGATTTTTGGGGGGCCAAAGGGTGGAATGTCATGGTTTGAATTATGTCCCCCAAAAAATCTGTGTATCAATTTGGCTAGGCCATGATTCCCAGTGTAGTGTGGTTGTCCTCCATTTTGTGATTGTAATTTTACACTAAAGAGGATTAGGGTGGGATTGTAACACTACCCTAACCCAGGTCACATCCCTGATCTAACATAAAGGAAGCTTCCCTGGAATGTGGCCTGCACCACTTTTTATCTCTTGTAACAGATAAAAGGAAAGGGAAGGAAGTGGAGAATTGGGGGACCTCATACTACCAAGAAAGCAGTGCCAGGAGCAGAGTGTGTCCTTTGGACCCAGAGTCCCTGCGCGGAGAAGCTCCTAGTCCAGGGGAACATTGATGAGAAGGCCGACAGAGAGAGAAAGCCTTCCCCTGGAGCTGACGCCCTGAATTTGGACTTCTAGCTTACTAGACTGTGAGAAAATAAATTTCTCTTTGTGAAAGCCATCCACTTGTGGTATTTATGTTAGAGCAGCACTAGGTGACTAAGACACCATGTGTTTTCTTCCGCAGAGCGGCTGGTGGGTTTGAACCACCAACCTTTCATTTAGGAGCTGAGCACCACCAGGGCTCCTTCTTCTCTACTCTACACTGGAGGAAACTGAGGCTCAGAGAGGTTCAGTCATTTGCCCAAAGAGTCAGCCCGTAAGTAGCAGAGTCTGGATTTGAGCCCCATCCGGAGACCTTGCTATTAACCACATTGCTAAATGCCCATCCAGCCCCAACCTTCCTCATTCTGTAACTTCACAGGCCTCAGATGATCCTGTGGGGAGCCTCTTCAGTGCTGGTGGTCAGAACGACTAGGGACCTGTGTGCATGGCCCGAGCCCCCGCCTTCGCTGCCCTCCGAAGCCTGCCTACCTCTCTGCACAGGTGTGGGCACAAAGAGGCTGTTCTCCCAGGCTGGATCTGACCCCAGGAAGCTGGTGCCAGGTGCTCAGCCAGCAGGAGCCCAGACCATCCTTCTTGCCACTCCACCTGCAGGCCAAGTTGGAGCCGTTAGCCCCTCTTTTCTCCAGGTTCCTCTCCATGGGGCCAAGGAGGATATAGGCGGGCAGGCAGAGACAGGTATCCTCACTGGTATGGGAGCCAGGGATGAACCAGAGGCAGTCGTTCTCCAGTGGGGTGTCCTCCAGCGGGATCCACATGCCCAGCAGCCGGCCCCGGGGCTCCGTGTACAGAAAGGTGGCATCTTGATGAGGGGAGACTGCGGCAGGCCTGGGGATGAGGAGCCTACCCCTTTGGCCGGCCCCACCTCACCTTGGCCCCATTCCACCCACACCCCCAGTCCTCCTGGAGCCCTCCAGGACCAGCCTCCCCATGATCAGTTAGAATCTTGCCCCTTCCTGGTCCGAGACTTTTGGGCAAGAGATTTCACTTCCGAAAGCTTTGATCTCCCAAACTGTGAAGTGGCTCCAGCAATAACCTAACTCTTACAGTTAGTTGCTGGATGATTCCATGAGATGGTTCATGAAGGGTGCATAGTACAGGGCGTGACATTGCTTGCTAAAAAGTAGCTACAATCGTTTAATTTCAGCCAAGTAGCTAAAGCCACTTTTCTTAACCAAGGACAAACAAGCAGCCTCCAGCCACCAGAGGGTCACCAGGTGGGATAAGATTGGAAAGTTGGGTGCAAAGGGGGGATGGCTATGACTAACCATCCATATTTTTAAATATCTGCCCAAGTGATGCTGGGGCCAGGCAGGATGGAGAACCATTGAACAAAGACAGCAAAGTCTGCAGGAACAAAGTAAGTAAAGAAGGTGCGAGCCTCACCTCCTTCCTGCCTGGGAAATTGTGTGTCTGAGCGCTAGACTTTAAGAGGGACTTTGACAATCTGGATGGCATCCACAGGAAGGCATCTAATAGTGGGGGCTCCGTAGCCTTTAGGGAGGAATGCCTGAAGGAATTGGGGTTGCTGGGCTTGGGCAGAGAAGGCTCAGGGAAGGGGTGGTCATTCCTCCAGAGGACTGCCCTTGGGCTGAATGGCAGGGAGGAGGGGGTGGTCACAAGGAGGTAGACTTGGGCTCATGCAAGGAAAGAAAGGACTTCCTATGAGGAAGCGAGCTCCCTGTCACTAGAGGTAGTTACGCAGAATTACAGGCTGTAAAGGGTATCTGTGTATCTGGTGGGAGTTGGAACTAGATCAGTAACTGCTATGTGGAATCAGTTCCCAGGAAGCTTGCTAAAAATACAGATTTCCAGGCCTGTGTAGCTCTACTGAATCAAAATCTCAGGAGACAGGTGCAAGGAATCTGCATTTTTAACAAACAAGGGTTGCTGCCAGGATCAGGAACAACTGTGCCAAGGGCTCCAAGGCTCCCTCCCAGTCCACTTTCTAGGAAGGAACAGAAGGTGGCTCCAACTCCTCCCGCCCTGGCCCAGCCTCCTGCCTACAGACATTCAGCAGTAGCTCTCCTTTCCTCCCAAGAGCTGACAACCACTGATGTCCCAGATCTCCCGCCTGTGGCCTTTGCTGGGTCCCACAGCCTGCTCTCAGCTTACCTTCACCACCAAAGTGAGGTTGCTGAAAGAAAGAAGCAGAGCCTGGTGAGGATAGGAGACAGCGGGAATGTGGGAGGTGCAGGCGCTGGCTGAGTCTTGTAGGATGTTCCGGCCCTGGCTCCAGGCGTTAACCTCCAAGGATTCCACCCCAATACCCAGCTACTGTGTACCTAGCATGTGCCAGGCTTTGGGGGATGCAAAAGAAAAAAGCACCCTGTGCAACAGGGAGCTCCCAGTCTAAGCAGGAGTCAGCATGCGCAAGCCTAAGAGCACAGCGCAGAATGAAACGAGGGCTAGAAGGAGAGGCGCAGATGAGGCCAGCAATTATGCTTTTCACCCTCAGGCTAAGACCCCTTTTCTTCTCAGGGAATCTGGAAAGCTTCTTGGAGGTGGCACTGAGCTGGGCCTTAGAAGCTGGGAGCAGAGCATTCTGATAGGCAAATAAGGGAGGAGAGAGTTCTGGGGAGCCCCTTCCCTCCTACCACCAAGTCTTAACTGAGCACCAACTAAATGCCAGAGGAGACCAATTTTATATGGGCTGTGCTGAGTTAATAATAATTCCTCAGTTCCTCAGGGAAGCAGCTTTTGGCCCATTGTAAGGAGCGGCTTGGTGTGAGCACTGTGCCCATTTTATACAAAGGAAACTAAGGTGTGGGGAGACAGAGAGCTCACCTTGAAGACATACATACTCTGTACCACCACAGGCATCTGGAGGCCAAGACTCCTGCCCAAGGCCTGGAAGGGGGCAGACGCCATGCTGCTGGCCTGCCCACATGCCTGTCTGGCCCACCCACCTGGCCTTCGCCCCATCCTCTGCTCACCTGTATCTTGGGGGAGTGTGTAACAGACTTGAAGACCAGATCAAGGGCGTGCAGAGCTGCAGGGACAGAAGGGGTTTAGGTGGCCAGACCCCAGCTCCCGTGCCTAGTTTGGGGCACCCAGACTCAGGCCTCATTTTGACATTCTCACCTATTTGGTGTGCGTTAAACTTTCTGTTTGTTTATAACCAAGTAACAGGTCCCACAGATGCCTTCATCCCACCCCAGGCCTCATCTCACTCATGACCTTACTCTTGACCTTCCTGCCATCTGGGAACCTCCCTCCAGCCCTGACTCCCCATTCCTCATGGAGGACGAAGGGCTCCAAGGGGCCCATCACTTGGTAACAATCTCCATTCCTTTCCTGTAAGCCTCAGTCTCCTCCTCTGTAAAATGGGGACCAGCAGAATAGCCCTGCCTCCCAGGGCTGCTGGGAGGACTCAGTGGGCTAACACATGTACCGCTATTGCCCAGGGCCTGGCACAGAACAGTCACTCATTATCACTATTTGCCATCGTTATTGTGATTTCACAAAGTGAGGGTTTCCTGGCTTGGTTTTGAGCATAATTGAATGGAACCATGTTGGTATGCCAGGTGCCCCTGGAGGAGGCTCCAGGAAGCAGTTGTACCAAGGACCTAGGAGGCCCCCATTCCTGGGGTCTGGGCCATCCCCAGACTAGGCAGCAGAGAGTTGAAGGGCTTGCATGTGCCCATCTGCACTGGGGAGGAACTCGATGAGACCCCTTTTCCCAGTGGTGTGGTGGCAGCACCTTGACCAACCATCACATGATTGACATCAAAAGATGCAGAAGAGCAGGGCCAGTGGGAGCCTGCAACCAGGAATACCAGTTGTCCAGCCATTAGCTTACTATGGTCTTTGAGCAAGACCCCTAATCCCTTCAGGCTTCAATTTCCTCGTTTTTTTCCTGCCCTCCCACACCCTGCTTACCATGGCCAATTTTGTTGATGGACTTCTCTGGAGGGACCAGGAAATTGCCTGTGGCATAAGGAACAGGTCAAGGCAGAAGAAGATCCAGAGTCCATCCTCCCGTGGGCAGCTGACTTCAACGCCCTTCCAGCCCTGGGGGACAGATACCTCAGTCCAGCCCGCCCTCACCGTGGCTCTTCCACATCTCTAGGTCCCCAGCTCCGAACATTCCTTGTCAAAAACATCTTCCTCAAAGAAGAATCGAATTTTGTCACCGCTGCTCAAGAAATACTCTGTGCTGCCCTGTGGAGAGAATACATCAGAGGGGCTGAGAGAACACCAGGCATCAGAGCTGGGCCTGGCAAAGAGGGAGGGAGGATTCAGACACTTCCCACCCACACCGGGCTACAGAACCCCTTCCGTGCTTCCCAAAATTGGCCACTGAAGCACAGGACAGTTAATTGGAACCCCAAACGCCTGGAAGTACAGCCTGACGCTACAAGCATGGAATTTCTTGCAAACCTTTTAATAAGTCATGCGACTCTTATGCTCTACTTGATAGTGTTGAGATTAAGAAAACAGGTGCTAGAATCAAACAGGCCTGGTTCCTGGGTAGCCTTGGGCTACTCACTTTACCTCTCCAGGCCTTGGTTTTCTCATCTGTAAAATGGGAATAATAATAGAACTCACCTCCCCCAAACTGTTGAGGGCTTCAGCCAGAGGCTGAATCTCACAGCAGTTGGAGCAGACTCTGGAGCTAGAATTGTTGTTGTGAGGTGCTGTGGAGTCGATTTCGACTGATAGTGACAACCACGGAGCAGCTGGGTGGGTTCGAACCACTAACCTCTCAGTTAGCAGCCGAGCACTCAACCATTGCGCCACCAGGGCTCCGTAATAGTTGGGCTCAAATCCCAGCTCTCCCACAGACCAGCTGTGTGACCACAACCACATTACTGGACTTCTCTGGGCTTAGTTTCATCCATAAAGTACAGACGGTATTAATGGTATTGATCTTATAGGGTGTGGTAACAAATACTTCCAAAGCACTAGCGCAGTCCTTGGAATGTGGTCAATACCATGTGAATATTGGCTTCTATTATCATTATTATGTATAAAACATTTAGTGAGGGCATGGCTAAACGCTCAATAAATATAAACTATTACTAATCCTTTCCTGTTTTCTTAATAACCTATCCTTGAAATGACTGCACATGAAGAACATTATCAATGTCACTGAATTCTACGTGGACAAATTGTGGAATTGGCAAATGTTTTGTTTGCATATTTTTACCGCAATAAAAAAATTTTTAAAAGAACGTATCCTTGTTAATTTTTAAAATTGATTTTGTTGTTGTTGTTGAGAATATACACAGCAAAATATACACCTATTCAACCATTTCTACATGAACAGTTCAGTGACAATGGTTACATTCTTTTAGTTGTGCAACCACTCACCCTCCTTTTGAGTTGTTCCTCTTCCATTAACATGAACTCACTGCCCCTTGAGCTTCCTATCTAATCTTTCAAGTTGCTGTTGTCACTTTGATCCCATATAGATAGTTCTTCAAAGAGCAGAATTAATGCTCAAGGCAGACATATGTTACTAATTAAGCTAAACTACTTTTTGGTTTTAAGAACACTATAGGGGATAGTTCTGGTTTAAAGTTTAAAGATTATCTCAGGGCAATAGTTTCAGGGGTTCATCTAGCCTCATGGCTCTAGAAAGTCTTGAGTCCATGAGAATTTGAAATTCTGTTGGCATTTCCCCCCTTTTGATCAGGATTCTTCTATAGAATCACTTGTCAAAATGTTCAGTAATAGTAGCCAGGAACCATCCAATTCTTCGGGTCTCATGACAAAGGGGGCGATTGTTCATGGAGGCAATTAGCCACAGATTCTATATCCTCCTCCTATTTCTGACTCTCCTCTTCCTCTGTTGCTCCAGGAGAATAGAGACCAACTATTCTACCTTGAGGAGCCCTGGTTGCACAGTGGTTAAGAGCTTGGCTACTAACCAAAAGGTCATCAGTTTGAATCTACCAGCTGCTCTTTGGAAAACCTATGAGGCAGTTCTACTCTGTCCTATAGGGTCACTATGAGTTGAAATCGACTCAACAGAAATAGGTTTTTTTTTTTTTCATTGTACCTTGGATGGCTGCTTGCAAGCTTTTAAGATCCCAGGTACTACACAACAAGCTAGGAAGTAGAACAGAAGCACTAAACACGTTATTAGGTCAGTTAACTGCAGTGTCCCATGAAATCATGATCCTAAACCTCTAAACTAAGATATCCTTGTTAATTTTAATATAACGTTTTACATTTCTTAGCATGACATGCAAATGTTGTTCTAGGAAGCTGTCCCATGTTTTCCTTGTCCACCCTTGACCTGCTATCATATATCTCCCTCCTCAGTGGGAAGCATTTTACAAATGCAGACCATGCCTACCCTCCTATGTGGTGATGTAACTGGAGCTGAGTGGTACCAGCCCCCCTACCTGGGTTCCCCAGGTGGCCACAGGCGCACCACTCCCTCATGTGTGCATCTGCTCTCAGACTCAGCCTACATGACTCAACTCTATTTCCTGCCTGGCCCCTTTCAAAGCCCTTCCACTGAAAGCTAAAAGCTGTTTCCAGTATTCTTAGCTCTTCTGCACCACAGGAGGGTGAGGGACATAAGTCAGGGGAGCAAAATTGATAATAATATTAAAGATGATGATGCTATACCATGTGTCAAAGATTTCATTTAACTTGTTAATTAACTTGTCAGTTAAGAAGGGAACCAGTGAGATGTTACAACTGGTTCAAAGAATTCCAAGATCACGTGTATATAGGCAATAAAGAATGCTAAAATGAATTTACAAAGAGATAAAAAATCAGCCACTCCACAGGGCAATAATTGTCACCAAAAATATGACACCATTCATATCCATTTCTACAGACAATATCATATGCATTATTATCAGTTTCACACAGCTTGCAGAGTTATAAAATAACTCAAAGAATGAAATGTGGAGCAAACCTGGAAAGGAGAGCTAGGCAGGATCCCCAGCAATTTTTTTTTTTTTTTTTTTTAGTGCCCATTTCAGTCTTGTGCAATATGTCAATGTTGAGGGTTATAAATCAAGATATATACACTTTCTTCTCCCATCCTGCCCTCCACCCACACACCCTCTGATTTCTGGAATATTCTCAACAGCTTGGAGGGCACAAGATTCGGCCCCCTCACTCCCTCGAGCCCTTGGGTGACTGTCTCTGGCCGCAGGACCTCCCATCTCATCTTTCCCCACCTGGAAGGTAGGCATTGGCCAAATTAGATGAACTACTTAGAGGAAACTGTCTTTCTGTAACCCTTTATCCATGTAGTTCAAGTCCCCCTTCTCTGGGATACAAGGCTTCTGGCCATTGTAATACCCTCCGTGCCCACCAGACGGCAGGAGTTCCTTGGCGTGAGCGTGCATGAGCCTCTCTGGTGTGCCTGCATCAGTGCTTCTCCTTGGCTGCACTGCCACAAACAGGCTCATAGAGTCAGATCATAGCACAAAGGGTTACAAGAACTTGGTGGGAGAACCCCCTTTGAGTATCTATGCATCCATCTTAAACTGGGGGGAAATAATCAGAGTCTAGTGCCATTGGGGGAGAAGACTTACACAGGTGGGCCCATTAGAATCACTTGGCTCATTCTGGGTCAGCAACCTGCCTCTTTGTGGCAGGAGAACCACTGAGGAAGTACAGCAGAAGGATAGTACTTGTATCAGGCAGATCTGGGTTCAAATCCTACCTTTATCAATTACTAACTGTGCCGTTTAGGGCAAGGCTCGCCAACCGGAGCCTCCTTTTCCCCACCTGTCAAATGGGGACAAATAATACCTACCTTATACATTCATGGTGCCTGGCCCATGTGGAAGAGGCTGCACAGGCCTGGTTCACTAGTATTTACTCCCCATTGCTAACAGCCACATTGTCTCATGATCTTGTTTCTCCAGTCTCTACGAAAGGTTTAAGATTAACTGATGTTCCTCCTTGGAGGGTAGAAAACAAGTGATAATGATCTAAGGGTGAAAACCAAACAAAGCACCCATCTTGTGACAAGAAAACCAGGATGTTGCCAGATAATCCCCAAGGATGTCACTAGATAACCCCCAAGAATACCAGTAGAAGATTAACTCATCTGAGACATCACCACCTCAAGGGGACACTAACACAAACTTCTAAGACCCATAATCCTGTCCCTATAAAAGCCTTCAGCCGATCTCCAGTGGGGGAGATGGGTTTTTTTGAGCAACCTATTCCCCTCTGTCTCCTATATATTGATATATAATAAACCTCTTGCTGCTCACCTCACCCGTCTCAGAATTTGCTGTGGCAACAGGCAGCTCCAATCCACGTTATTGCGGTAATAAATTTGGTGGCCTGTACGGGGAGCTTCAGCCACTTGAGACACAGCAGCCCTGGGGCAGGGCCTGGGGCTGATTGACAGCTCTCCCAACAAGCAGCCCTGAAAGGTTTCATTTGCCTCTGGCGAGACTATCGGCCAGACCTGGGTCTGTCATGGCACCACTGGTCCCCAACCACGCCAAAAGAGGTGGGTGAAACAAAAGCAAGTCCTGCTAAGGAGGGATCCCAAGGTGAGTCCGCAACTCCTCTCCCTGTTGCGCTCAGGGCCAGGGTGGATAGGGCAGGCCCAAGGTTTCTGGAGCGGGACCTGAGCCCTTGGTTTCTGGGGCAACAGGCACCCCCAGATGACTGTCCCCGTCAGTAGGCTGACAAGTAGGGACTCCTGGTGACTCTAGAGTTCTGGTTCTGGGTGTGTGAATGCTCGTAAGTGTGTCTGGGAGGTTGAGATTCTCTAAGATCACCACTGTTGGCAAGCAGGGCCGTCTGAGAGGTTGAAGGGGGTCAAGAGCACCTCCATCAGCTTGCGGGATGTCTCATGACTGTGTCTGGGAGGTTGAGATTCTCTAAGAGCACCTCTGTTGGCAGACAGAGCTGTCTGAGAGGTTGAAGGGGGTCAAGAGCACCTCTGTCAGCTTGCGGGATTTATTCGTTTACTGTGGTTTTGTATCTGTCCTGTCATTTGTTTACTGTGGTTCTGTGTCTGTCCTGTCCATTGTCTGTGTATAACTAGTATTATACCATCTATGTGGGTGCCCTGATTCAGCTGTTAAGAGAAAGCTTCAAAAAGAAGGAAACCAAAAGCTTGAACCTTATCGCTTAACATCTTTGATAAATGAGCCTGGATTTCCCCCCCTACTACTGATTCACTGGTTGGGGTTCATATTTAAAAACACTATAAGCTGAGTATACTAGAAGTAACTTTGAATTTCAGTGGCCACTTCGGGAAAATGAGCTTTCATTTGTATTGTCCGTTTTTTTTCCTTTAGGAAACTTTGCTTGATGCTCAGGTTTTGTCAAGAGGTCTAATATTCCTCCATCTGAGGCTCCGGCAAGTTAATAAGTTTTATCTGGAACTTGTTTTTTCCATTGAGTCAATCTTCCCAAAATTTGTTATGTACACTTTAAGAAACTAGGATCCACATATCCTTTTTCGTGTGGGATTGTCTGGTGAGTTTACGTGGTCTTTCTGTCTCCTTTTTTTTTTCCTGAAAGAGCTTTGGTATTTACTAGGTAGATAGCCTTTCAAAATGTCTCCATCAACTTAAACATATGCCTTAGCTCAAGGGAAGCTTTGAAAGACCCTTTCCAGCTGGGTGGAGACTCTTTTAAGACAAAAGATAAGAAAAACTGTTGCTTTGTTATAGTTATTAGAAATTGAGCAGATCCTGATAATAGAACTGTAAACAAGTTCTCTCTATTATAGGAGAACTCTAAGAAGTCGAGCAATAGAAATCACAATGAGACACACCTAAAATGGCCTCGAAAATGCTTCCAGCAGTAATCAGAGGCTTAAAGTTATATCCATATCAATGAATTGGTCAATTAAACAGAGACTTTGTGATTTCCAGAGCCAGTTAATAAAATTGTTAAGGGCTAAATACTGGGTTGGGAAAGATATGAGAAACAGTAAAAGTTGAATAAAAAACTTGGAATGTTTAAACAGACTTTCTTTCAACAACAGTTATGTTTTATGGTATACAGGCTTAAAATAATTTCCAATACATTGTAGGTAACTTACTAATGTTAAATTGAGTTAATAGATATTTGTCATAATTTATGCTTATATATTTTGGCTTTTTATGCCACAAGAGAAAGGACAGTATATATATATTTAAGCCTGCTAATGAGTGTTCATTTTTGCCATTTATAGGGATGCACTATAAGAGGTATACAACAAAGACAACATTTAAGAGTTTTATTGAAAAAGAAATTTATTTGATTTGGTCAAGTTTTATCTGACTAAAGTTTAATGGTTTAATTTATGAGATTTTTAGGAGTTTTACTGTTAGGTAGCATATAAAACAAAGAATTAGGTTTCTCGCTGTTAAAATAACAAAATTTTCCTTTGATTTCTGAGTTAAAGGGTTAATTTATTCTTTGTGTAATCTGCCTGGAAGATGAAGGTTTGGTCTCTCATTAGAATAATATTCCTGAGTCTGAATACTAAGCCACATGGCTTTTAGAAAAGAAAGGTAAGATTTTTACTTTAAGATCTTTGGTTAAATAACTTAAGTATAGTTTCACAATGACCTGTAATATTATTATTTCTTTATTGCTAACTTGGTTGCAACTTTATCTTTTTGAATTTAGCATCATCAAAGCCAATGGTTTGATTAGAGAATTCACATCATTTACCTATGAAGTTTTTTTTTTATTACAATTCAGGTATTTAGAGATTTGATAATCTTGGTATATTCTTGTTGTATCCTGACTATATGGTATTTTGTCTCAAAATTATTATGTATTACATCTGAAGCTCTTTGAATACGGTTAATGGTTGTATTTAGAAATATTTTTATCTAAAGTTTTTCTTTTTTTTTTTAAACTGGTTGTATCTGGCCTTTACGTTGCACTTGTAATTAACTTCTATCAGGTCTTTCACTATTAACAGTATTATTTTTATAAGTTAATCATGGCCATATTAAGTTTTGTCACCTGCAGATAAGTTTTCACTTTGCTGATTTGCTGAAAATGTTTGACCAAAATATCTCAACAAGACAGACTATGTCAGACTTGCTAAAAGGACTGTGACTAGACTCAATCAAAATTTCCAGAACATTTATGCAGAAGCTGATGAGTTCACAGACTGTGACTGATCCAGAATCACATGGAACAGAAATTAACTACGTAAGACTGAGTAAAATGAAAGGAAACTATGAGTTGTATGTGAGAATATTGCCGATGTCTTAAGGGCCTACTTTCTAGATATAAGAAATCATTTTCCTTTCTGCTAAAGTATCTAACTAACGGGTTTAGATATTGTAACTCTTGAATTAGAAGTTCTGTTGGTAAACTTAGCAAAGTTGTGACTATCATAATCAGAGAAGTGTCTGAAATTTAAGCTATGATTTTACAAAACAGAACAGTATTAGCCTTTCCTGTTAGTCTCTCAAGAAACAGTTTGTGCCTAAATAGATAAATGCTGCTATATTTATATTAATACTCAATCTGAGGTTTTGCAAAATGTATTTGCTGTCGAGGTACGTGAAAAGCAGTTACTGAAGCTGCTTATGCATAAACAAACACCTGTTATGGGGGAAGGTCCATCTATCCCAGCCAAATCTCCTCTAGGCTGCATTCTAACAAACTGGAGGAGGTATAGCTATGAGCCTATGACAAGAAAGAGAATGATAAGCTTATGCAACAATGCATGGCTCCAATACCAGCTGGGGGACCAGAAACATTGTCTCCAAAATGGGTCTTTGGCTTACTGCATGATTTTTCAGCTTGACTTGTTTTGTAAGAAAAATAGGACAAGGCTCCCTATATTCAAGCTTTCATGTCTCTCTATCAAACTTTAAGTCCCTCTAACCAGGTTCTTTTCCAGGAAAAGCTGAAGGCAAAAGTGCTTCCTGAATCCTCACCGGAGGGTCCCCTTTTAGAAGGAATAGCCCTGATAACTGCGTTGGCTCCCCCCTCCGCCACATAGGGTAGGTGTGGTAGAAGCCAACAGGTCAGGTCGAAGAATGACAGCAGAGTCCCCTACCGAAAGGGCTGAGCCTGATTCTAGTCCAGCCAGCTTGAGAGAAACTGACGAAGAAAGGGAATCGGGAAGTAAGAGTCCGACTTCATCGGGTATGGTCACCCTCCTCCACACACACCTGTCAGGGTTCGGTTTTTGGTGAGGGTACTGCCAGGGCTCGGGCAGGGCAATTTCCTCTGAGAAAAATTCCAGCCGAAGGAGGAA